AACCGGAAATATGCTACAACCGGAAATAATTTTAATTGGCTGATATTCTGGGGGTGGAAAGCCCGTAGAGGCGAATTGTGTCAGGCTCTCTTCAATATTGAGGGCCTGATACTCAGGTTACAACCCTCGCCTTGCTCACAAAACCATTGCAATTTCCGAACATGAAGTATCTAAAGTAGTTGTCATGGTAACAAGATAATTTTTAAGAATATTCTTACAAATGAAACATTGTCTAAAAATATCACTTTTAATTACAAAATTATCAATTTACCAACATATATATGTTAGGTATGTTATTATACGTAATATAAGCTTCAATTTAAGGTAAATTCAACCACAAACGCTTCGCAAAACGTTTTATTAAAGTGTTCTTTATAAAACTAACTAAACTGCGTTTATTAATTAAATGGCTTTATCGATAAACTTTCAGTTTGCAATAAAATGATTTCAAATTCTCGCATGCAAATAACTTTGCTTTCTTTTTTATTTAAAAAATTCAATATAATAAAAAAGGGAATCAATATTAAAGATACACTGAAATTATATACTGTCTTGTTTAGTCGTTTCATATACGCAAAGGCCGTCGGGTTTTAAAACCATTATAAAATCAATATTTAAAACAACCTTACCTTCGTTAACGTCGGCTCCCTTCTTTTAGCCGATTCTTTCGAGTTTTGGAGTTTCTTTCTAAGAGAGCTTTTGAAATTTACAAAATCTTGCAAAAAAGCGAGCAAAAATGAAATATATTTGCAAGAAATTTATCTCATCAAATCAAGAAATGTTTGCTATTTCGCTGTCGTCGATCAGTCGTTATAATGCAAACTTTAAATTGGACCAATCAGTGTTCGCTATTCATGACAGTCTGCCACATATTTTGAGATCAGTGAGGATGACCACCCACCGAAACATCGTTGGTGAGCCACGCCCGCGATATTTGATGAACTTTAGACTTCGCTAATGCTTTCGTTTCCCCGGGTGTAAAATAGCCGGGGGGAATTAGTACTCTCGCACGGCGCTTCGCGCCGTAAGCTCGAGGACAACAATAACAATAAGGTTGAGGACAGGGATAAGGATGACAGGGTGCGATAATTGAGTACTTAAGCCTGATTTCCACTAGGCGGAATTTTGCGCGCGCAGCGGAAATTTTCTTTGTCTTTTCTAATTAGTTCCACCTGAGAAATCACAAGACAAAAGAAAATTCCGCTCCGCGCGCAAAATTCCGCCTAGTGGAAATCAGGCTTTACGTACCAGAAGTACGCCATTATTACGTTCTGGTACTTCTTTGTTTTCAACCATGCAAGTACCACGTAGGTACGCAGAACTTTTGCTATCTACGTACTTACATTTTGCTGGTACCACATGACCTTTCCAAACCCAAAGTATTAAAAACCGCAATTTAAGTTTGTATGTGCAACTCTGACATATCAAGCTTGGCATGAAACATGATTACACTGACGGGACGAAGGAATGTTGGAGTCAACTGTGTGTTTGTGCAACTATGCAATTGTTCTCCTTGTTATGACTCGTAGTTTTAGGTTACTGAATGAATACCTTTCAGAAACCTGTACTATATATGTACACCTTGAGTCTTAAGTCAGTTCAAGTACGCGGCAATAACCATCAGAGTACCAGTCAAGTACGAATTATCGCACCCTGGATGAGAAGATAAAAATAACAGAGAATAAGAACAATGATATGGTGAGCGATAACACTAAACATCACAATATGGATGAGGATAAGAACGAGGATGAAGTTACGACACACACAAACACATACATACATACATACACATACAAACTCAAATCATCGATAAAAACAACCAGGAGTTATGTAAATTAACTAAGGATAATTTGCATTTAAAATCACGACTAACCCAATTGGAGGAGAAATTGTCCCCCAAAGGTAACGCCACCATTCCGATTAATTCTGACAACACTGTTACCTACAATACTCCACAAACCAATCCCCAATTTACTGAACCTGAAGTTACTAAATCTATAGTCACTCAACCTGATGTTACACTGGGTAGTTTCCCTCCTTATCCTTCGGAGAAACGCGAAGAAAAAACACCATCTAGTAGCACAACTTTAAAGGAAAAAGCACGAGTACCATGTCCCTTCCTGAAAAAGAGAGGCCACTGCCTTAAGGGTGATAGATGCGATTTTTCGCACAAGTTTATCCCACTACACGAATGCGGGTCAAAGCCAAAACAAAATCCCTCTGGAAAGTTTTATTCCCCACGCATACCATACCCGAACAATAATCCACCTGTACCTCCTTTTCCCTTCAATTCCTATCAACCGTTCCCCCCTTCTAATTTACAATACCCCAATGGTTACCTACCTCCTTTTCCTTCCATCCAAATTACTTCCCTCCTTTTCGGTATCCAACATTCGGCCCCTTATTAAAGCCGTACCAATACCAGCGCTCGTACCCACCACCACTGATTACTGTACCAACAAGAGCACCCTTTCACAAACCCCCCATATAACATTTAATCAATCAAAGAAAAACCTAACAACTTTCTCGTCGAATAAATCGAAAAGGGTTCCACACAAATTGTCATTCATTCATTTAAACATTCGATCATTAAAAAACAGAAACCACTTCCTTCAACTTCGCGAATTTGTCCGAGTTACAAATTATCACATAATTATATTATCAGAAACTTGGCTGAACAAATCAGTCAAAAACGCCGAAGTCGAAATTGAAGGTTATAAAATATTTAGACCGGACCGAAAGGACAAACGCGGCGGGGGACTGTGCGCGTACATTCGTAGCCCGTTAAAGGCACAAATATTGAAAGACTTGTCCGGTACATCAACAACCTGGTTTCAGCAACTTTGGTTACAAGTTCAATATAAAAAGATTAGATCATTCGCAATCTGTGCTGTTTATAGACCTCCTGATTGTCATGTTTCCTGTTTTGAGGATTTTTTAAAGCCTTCTTCGACCTACGCTTTATCGCTCAACAAGCCTGTAATAATTCTAGGCGATTTAAATTGCAATCTTTTACAACAAAATCCTGACGGTTTGTCATTGCTGAATTTTGCTTCTGAATTGAACCTCAAACAATTGATTACTTCACCCACTAGGATCACTGAATCTAGTGAATCATTAATAGACGTTGTAATGTCCTCGACTACGGATCTTGTACAGGAAAGTGGAGTTATTGAAAGTAAAGTAAAGATTCGGAACAGATTGCAAATTAATTCAACCAATTTTTTATCGCTGTTGGAGAAAAAACTGCAAACGCTGCAGCTCAAGTAGCCCTGGACAATAATCTTAACGGACCAACTTCAAGCTCCTTTCCTGCAATATCACATGCACACACCACGCATGAAATGTTTCACTTATCGCCCGTTTCGTGTACTGATATTAAACGAATCATCATGTCAATGCCTTCAAACAAAACACCAGGAGCGGACAAAATTAGTATGAGTGTTTTAAAAGATTGCCTTCCTGTTGTTCTTGGTCCAATTACCAACATTATAAATTGCTCCTTCGCCACATCAACGTTTCCAGATGATATTAAATTTCGAACTAGCCGAAGTTATTCCCTTATTAAAAGACGGTAATCACGTAGTTGCTTCAAATAATCGCCTTCTTTCCCTCCTAAATACTGTTTCAAAAATTTGTGAGAGAGCTGTCCTCAACCAATTCATTTCCTATTTAACACGTATGGTGGCCAACAGCTATCATTGAAAATTTCAAAAACGAATAGAAAAAAATAAAACAAAACAAAATAAAATTTTAAAAATTATAAAAAATATATAACTAGGGATCCAAGGATAGTGTGAAGTTTCGAATTGAAAAAGACACTGCAAGAACTATATATGGTCGCCGACAACCTAGAAAAGCTGATGGCTTACACTACGAAATAAACAGTTACCAAAGGCATTTCATCTCATTATTTATTGCTTTTAATACGCTCGGCACACGAGTAGCGTGACGTTTGAAACAACTAAAGCCTAACACACCAGAAACGTGACTTGTGAAACTGATGCAATTCATCTATTTATTGTGATGCTACACGATGCTACACGAGACAATTCAAAATTTAAATGTTTCACCAACAACCAAATTTTGCATATTCTAAATTTTCATTTGCATTTGCAGCTGTCGCTAAAAGCTCCCAACGAGGCTACTGCTATGCTAAATTTATCTAAAACTATAATTGAAATAGCTGTGTAAGATATGTTATGAATAATAAGCACTACGTCGTTACATCATTAAAAGGACGCATTTTATCCTCATCCGTTCCGTATTCTATCCGCATATCCGTTCCGTGGATCCGCTCCATCCGCTTCCGCATTTTAACCTAATTGTGACATGCTTCACAATAACAAGTTTCATTGACCTTTGACTTTTCCCAGTGTCACGTCTATTTTCAGCTTTTCGCATGTGTTGAATAATGTCACTTTAGATTTCAATAGTTTTACAATTAAGCAGTGTTTAAAGCAGTTTTGACAAGCTTTGAACAGTTCTGTGTACAGAATACTACAGATTGATTCTCGTAAGATCTGGTAGAGTTATCGTTGCACTGAACAAGAGTTTACACCGTTGACAACGGCGTTGTGCTAGACAGTAAACAAAGACAAGGCCCGTGACGGTACACGTTGGCTACATGTACCTCCTTGCTTTTTTTTCTATTGCATAAAGCTTGTTGGCGAGCCAAGCGATTGGCGATAACACGTTGGCGATAACGCATTGGCTATCTCCTCGTCTTTCTTATTTAAATAAGGAGCTCTGACTCAACTGATTTCTTTAGTCTCGCAAGTTATTTTCTTCGTAAACGCCGTACAAACGTTTACCCGCTTCTGTTTAATAGTTGTTTCGCTCTTTGTACTGAGCGTAGCCATCTATTCTGTGATGTAGCACCTTATACAGTCAATGACAATGTATAATGAATACACGGTCTAAATAATATCGATGGGCACTTAATTGAATACCGGTAATGCACAACATAATAGTATTATTGCGTAGAATTTCAGAGGACAAAGATTTTCTCAATATTCATGTCTGAAATGTTCATATACTTGAAAGCAACACTGTCTCGCTTGTGCCTACATATACTGTACCTCTGTATAACGAGTATGCCGTGAAAATAATATCGGCACTCAATTGAATGCCTAGAATCTCAAAGATTTTCTCAATATTTACGTCTGAAATGTTTATACATTTGAAAACAACACTGTCGTTCCTTCCTAGCTCTGTATATTAATGAATATACCGTCCACATATATCAGTACTTGATTGAAAGACCGTCGTGCATAACATAAAGTTATATATTGCGTAGATTCTCAAAGATTTACTCAATATTCACGTCTGAAATGTTTAAATTTATACATTTGAAAACGACACTGTCGCTCCTTCCTAGCATCGTGATCTACGGCTTCATAGCGCATGCGCATTTGTCCTGCTATAGAAAAAATCGGGTGTTCCGGGGGGAAAGTTCCTTTACACAACATGAGAAGCGAATGTTCTGAAATTACAAAAATTTACAATAACGACAACGATTCCTCGAAATTTTTGTGAACTTGGCAAAAGGACAAAGGAATATTTAAAGAAAATAAATAAAATTGCTTAAATAACCTTCAAAGCGCTAATTACAATAAATCACTGCGAACATAAATCGTATACACCCCCCGGAAAGTTTACTCTATGACTGACTGAGTGACTGATTCGTGTGAATTCGCCAGCCATCACAACAGTGTGAAGTGAAACTTCACACTAAAAACAAAACAAATTTAAAATCAAAATAAAAATAAATCGAAATTCCCATGGGCCGAGCGCTATCATAAATAAATTTTTAAAAAAATATGAAATCAAAACAAAAACAAAATCAAAATTCCCAATGGGCCGAGCGCTATCATAACATCCCATGAACCTTTGCCCGCGCGGAAGGCAACATGGCGGAGAAATGGCGAAAGTTCAAAGAATATATGAAAAAAAAAACCCGCTTGAGTGGGAAGAGCCAAAAAGGGAAAGATGTTTCCAAACGTGAAATAACTGTTCAAATGTTAAGCGCGGATGTGTCGGGCAAGGCCCAAAAGTATTCACGTATCGGCCCAAAGGAATTTGTCCAGTTATATGACGACGATGATGAAGATCTAGATCGACTTTATACAAGAGAAGAGATGACAATTGAACGAGTGAAGGATGCATGCCTAAAACATTTTCAACCGAAGGTTGGAAAGAATGTTGTATGTGATATCCTTGCCGGTGAGCAAAGACCTTCCTGCGCATCCTTGAAGCAAATACCGAATATGAATCTTATATACGTCAGATTCATAAACAAGAGCTCGACAGCAGATTTGCCTGTATTCGTTGATGATACTGACCCAGATCATCTGCAAAGCACAACTGTGAAACGAAAGGGCCCTAACTCTGTTCCAAGTCCAAAAAAAGCTAAAATCTCAACACCAATGCCCAAGAGTCTCTCGGTAACCCATATGTTGAAACTAGGTAAACTTATAAACAAGTCTACCACTACCATCCGCTTGTATGGATTTAATTTGGCAGATATGAGCTGGTCGTCTTCACCAAGGGCAGTTGAATTTAGTGTTTCAGAGGATGTGCTCGGAGAAGGTGCATTCCGAAAAGCTTATAAAGCAGAATCAAAACATGAGAGCTTTGCTGGTTCATGGGTAGTCAAAGAATATAATGAAAATGCATTGGATGTCATTGCTGAGATCAACCAAACTCTCGAAACCCATACAAAGAAGGTTGTACAAATGCAGAGCTTAGTCCAGAACTTTGCAAGCCAACTGAAGACAAGTGTTGAGCAAAATAGCATGCAAGAATCTTTTGGCGATTGTTTCCATTATGGGAGTGTCTACTTAGGAAAGAAAGGTGACGAATTTGTCACAGTTGAAGAGTTTGTAGATGGAGAGTTTAGTAAGTATATAAACAATGATGGCACATTGTGTAAGAATGTCAACGAAGTTATATTACAGAAAGCAGAGTGTCTTTCTCATTTTTCTTTTGAAAAATCCAACAATCAGGTAATGGTGTTAGATATCCAAGGATGTGGCTACTCTCTTGTAGACCCAGAAGTTACATCATCTTCCGGAACTCTTTGATGAAAATAAAGAATTACTTTTTACCACAGGGAATTTGTCATTTGAAGCAATTGCAAAATTTAGACTTATTCATAGATATAAGTACTGCGAGCTTCTGAAGCTTAAAGTACTTGTATAGAAAGAATACACAAACTGCTGCTAGGGAAAACGTAATGATGTATCTTTAAAACATTGTTCTTATTTCAGTTTAGTGTATAACAAAGACACCTAAAACTTGATGTTATCGACATTATCTGTTAGTTACTCTTAGAAGATTCATTGTCTTTTAAGAACATATCAGACTTTAAATTGCATCTCTAGTAATGTGGTAGCAAAGAGTGACTGGGCAAGCATCTGTTAACACCAGGTTATAACAAAACTTTTATGAACAAATTGAGCAATTCAATTCAAGTCTTAAACAGTTGGAAGACATAGTAGGTCCAATGTCTTTTACCACTTTTGGTGACTAGTTTTTGCAATAAAGATTGATCATCATTTATGTTTTCGCTTGCTACACAGGTTTAAATAAATTATTACAAAGCCCAGTTGAATTGTAATCAAACCCCAACGTTTCGACACTCCAGTCTACAGGGTGTATCAAAATAAACGCAATTCATCTTTTGTGCTTAATAACTTTCGAAATACTATTTCTAGTTAAACGCTTTTAGGCTTACTTCAAAGCCTGTTCTTTTCTCTTTCAAACAAACTATTATCCTTGTCTCCAATGCCAGTAATAATTGCACAGGAAAAGATTTAGTAAAACCTATCATTTTTAGTTGCTGTTTAATTATGCAAGTTTACTATGTTACTGTTTAGTCGGTTTAAATGTTAGAATTTTCTTCTTTAAACTTTAATGTTGTCGTCACTACATCTGGAAAACCACGTAAGAACAAATTAAAAGTATTTTAAAAGAGACCAGGTTGTTTGAAAATCCCAAACAAATGCTAAAAATCATAGAATCAAAACATTCTGGTGTCTGAGCCAGAGTGTCATCGAATTGCGATGTAATGTAAACAGAAATTATAGCAAGCTGATGTCAGTCAGCTTAGATGGTCCAAGCCAAAATTATATCGCATTTGAAGTTTCAAACTTTGTTAAAAATAGTGGAAGAAAAGCCGTAATTATACTTATTGTTACAATCCATTTATTAAAATGCAACATTTTTTTGTTTTAATGAAAAAATCAGTTATTTTCATGAGAACGATTTGTTATTCCATCTCAATTTTTTAATCTCCAATCGCAATAACGTAAAGTATTATTAGCCGCGAACCAATGAGTCAAATTTAAGAAACAACCCACTGTTAGAAAGCTGAATGGCTACGCTTTAAAATGAATGTAAACTTTAACGTTTTCGTCTATTATTTGTTTAGCAATTTACATTTCAGTTGAGGATTGCGCTTTTTTTGATACACCCTGTAGTGTCTTCATCAGGGGTGATCTAAAGTTGCAATGTGGCTGGCTTCTTAAATACCCAAAGGATGATGTCACCTTCAAATGAGATGCATGCATTCCTCTGGCATATATGTAGGCACCGTCATCCCTATTCAAAGCATGATTACTAATATATATATGCCACACTATTCAAAGACTATGCCTAGAAGTGTGGCATATAAATATGAGTAATCATGCTTTGAATAGCGATGACGGTGCCTATTTACCAGATGGATACATGCATCTTATTGGCAGGTGACGTCATCCCTTAGGTATTTAATAAGCCAGGATTGCATCTTTAGATTACCCCTGATGAACACACTAGACTGGACTGTCGAAATGTTGGGTCTTGATTACAATTCGACTGGGCTGTGTAATCATTTAAACAGGAGTAGCGAGCGAGAACATGATGAATTGAAGTGAACGAACAAACTTTGATCACCGTTTGTTTTTCTTTCCATCTATCCAGGATTGTTTGTTTTTAAACTTTACATGAGAATCAGAACAACAAACATCAAATCAATTTTTAGAAGTTATTGAAACTACTTTAAATTAAAAACTTAACCAGACTGGTTGCTACCATGTTTCTAAGGATTTGGTTTAAGGCTGTATTTACAAGATGAATTTAAATTTAGTTTACATCCATATGTAAACATATTGTATATATCTACAATGTTGTGTTAAAGTTTTCATTGAGATATATGAATGCAGATGCACAATCGTTAGGTTCTATTTTTTCTGTTTTTGGTAGAAGCAATTCACATCTTCTTCTAAATGAGGCATCAAGGAAGTCATCTTTCCATATCTAATATTCCTGCATGAGCAGATGCTTCTTGTAGCTGTTCATCTGTTACAGACCAGCCTGAAATCAAATTTTGTTTCTTTTATTGGAACCAACTAACAGAGCCGGAACTACTGGGGGTTCCAGAATGCTGGACTTGCCCAGAGGGGGCCCAGAATGGTGGAATGTTTTCAATATTAATTGAACGAATTTTCTGAAAAATCAAGGTAAAAAAAGTATTTTTAATCCCCCATTATCTCCCCCCCCCCCCATTGCCAACATTTTCCGGACAAATTTCGCTTTATGGGAGAAAATTTTTATAGGGGCCCCCGAAAGGAAGGCCCCCAATTTTTTTAATACACCCCCCCCCAAATAAATTTAACGATAGTACATCTTTGATGATGTAATAGTGGTACATACTACAAATTAACAGAAAAAGGTAATTGGTTCAATAGCACCCAAAATTTTAATTAACTACTGACCACTTAATGATTAACATGTACAATTGTAGAAAAATAAAATAAAAAGTGCTTTGCACTCAATGTCTTTACCACAGTCTTCAAGGCCATACTCCTCGGGAAAGTCGTAAATATGGTTGGGCACACCATGGGGGAGTAGTTTTTTTTTTGTGGTCTGATGCGGCGAGTATTCCAAATTGTATGTTTGAATGTGTCCAACTCTTTTTGCAATAAGCGGATCATGACAAATGCTAGCAACATCCTAAAAAAAAAACAAGGTGGTGTTGTATTACATGAACCAGGTTTACTACAATCAGCTAGCTAACCTTGATGATATAAAAATAATTACTAGTTTTTTTACCTGTGTATACCATCATCAGGATTGTAATGTCCTTCATCTTTCAATAAAAGAAGTTGCTTTTTATAGTACTTTTCGAGGCGCTCGTGTAACTCTTAACACCACCTTTCAATCTACAACAGGTATTTTGAAGACTTTAATTAAGTCATATAAACATGCCTTCAGGTAACCAATTTAAATAAGGGCATGGCCATCTTTTATAGCTGTGGCCACGCCATGCAAAACATCAAACTGAAATTTTTATATGCACTAGTGACCCATAAGGGATGGACCATTAGATTTTTGAGGGGGAGGTTGGGCAAATAACAAAAAAAAATTTTGAGCAGAACGTTAACAAGGAAAAAATATCTTGCACAAGAAAACTACAGGGAAAAAAATTGTGCAAAAGCGCCAAGGTTTTAGAACTATAGGTGATATTTTATATGTTTTTCATACGAAGATTGTAGGATTTTATATCAAATCTGAAATGAACCAACAGGCGTCATATAAAATAGGGACACCTGTTTAAATTAATCAAAAACACAAAAACAAATCATATCACATTTATATACTTCATGTTGTGGGAAATGTTTTCACATGCAAATAAAGTTTTTTCTGTTGATATATTTACTTCAAAACTCTTACAAGTCTTACAAAATAACCCCAAAACCTAAACATGTCCGCCATGTGTATTCCTGTCCCATCGTTCATTGGGGCCCATACACTACAGTCACCCAAACCGGAAACTCGAGATTAAACACAAATCAATGGATTTTCAACAATGTTTATATACTACAGATTATAGTAAATATTGTTGGCAAAAATTTGTTGCCACTTTGTTTTATACTTTCTTGGACAAGAAGTGGAATTATTTATTAAAATAGCAACCATTTTATAACAACACCCTTTTAATCAACACAAAGCACATCTCCTCTTTAAAAACAAAATTATAAAACAGAACCAGATCATAAGGCTAAGCCCAAGGTGAGGCCAGCACAGCTATTTTATACACCGGCAAAAAGCAAAGCTAGGAAAGGGATATTTAAACCGCTGATGTTACGCCCACAAATATATAGGATTGTGGTTATTAAGATAGGTATTAGGCATTGATTTTGTGAGCACCTTGTAACATAGAAGCAATAGTGGGTGGGAGGGGGGGGGGGTGCAAAACCACCCCAACTGTGAAACTCAGGCAAAAATCAGCTGGTAAAATTAATTAAGTTAAAATTTTGACATTTTCAGGTAAAATATGCATAATAAAGTAATAATTTTTGTAAAATACAGTCAAATATCATGCACGAAAAAAATTGCCCAACCCCTCCCCCCTCAAAAATTTAATGGTCCATCCCTAAAGGCTGTTGCCTGGGGCATGGTGCTATCATTTAAGCATTGGTTAATCTATATGAAGAACTTCGAAAACCAATTAAAAACAGCAATGGGCAATTCCAATGTTTATCCGCAACTCCCCCCCCCCGACCCTGTTGAGGAACCTTGGAATTTCCAGGGGAAAGGGTGCATTAAATTTCAAATTTCCAGTGGAGGGGTGCATTAACCCTGGAATTTCCAGGGAAGGGGGCATTCAGGCTCTGGAATTCCAAGGAAAAAGTAATTCTGACATGGAATTTCCAGAGGGAGGGGTAAATTTCATGGGATAGAAACCCCATCATGGGAGGAAATATGTTAGAGGAAAATTTCCGGGAGTATAAACGTCCCGTGATGGAAATCCCATAGGGAGGGGTAATTTACACATGGAAATTCCATGGACAGGGCCAAATTTTAAATGGACATTCCATGGGGAAGGCCTAATTTAAAATAGAAATTCCATGGGCAAGAGTATTTTTACAAGGAAATTCCAGGGAGTACCGACGTGAGAAAGGGGTTCCTCAAGAGGGGGGTGCGGACAATAATTGGAATAGCCCAATTAACTTCTCCAAACACCAGTTTTATGTTTTGCATGGCAGAATAAGCATGGACATCACAATGCCCCTGGGTAGTCATACTAACTTGGTTGGATGTGGAAGGCCCATAAATGACTGTGTTCTCAGGATCCATGTCTTTGTGATCGCTGCGCAGAAAGGTATGCATTGTCGACATGATCCCGGTTTCTGTACCCTTGTCCAACCGCAACACTGAGGGCATGATTTTGTGTTCATAAAGAAACTCAAGGTACCATCGACCAATCAAACGTGGGTCACTGTTGCTTGTCCATATCTTAAGCCACATTATTTTTCGACTGGCTGTATCAATACTGCCGTAAATCGCCAACGGGAAAAAACTGTTCTGAAATCCAATCAATTTGTTATGGCCGTCTAGCGAGTGAATCCAATTCGGACCACGTGTGGTAAAACAATCTAGGCCATCTGGGTCGAGTTCCCGCATGGTTTCGTAGACAAAATCTCTTTGAACATTCAAACCATGCTCTTGTCTTACCTTTTTGTGCAGTGCACGTTAGCCCAGCAGTTGCCCTGGTCCATCAAGCTCTTTTTGAACAACTGCATTCAATTCGTCTACTGTGACATTGTTATCAGTGTAATAAATCTCAAAGTAGCGAAGTCGTCGGTCGAGAGTCGCTATGCTCCAAGAATAAAACGAAAAATCTCTTCTTAAATAGTCTAACATTCCTTTCCGTTGAATACCCTGGCGAACATAATCTAATAACTTTCCTTTTAGAGACATGTCTTCCTTCCATTCGTTGGCCGCCATGTTGCCTTCCGCGCGGGCAAAGGTTCATGGGATGTTATGATAGCGCTCGGCCCATTGGGAATTTTGATTTTGTTTTTGTTTTGATTTCATATTTTTTTAAAAATTTATTTATGATAGCGCTCGGCCCATGGGAATTTCGATTTATTTTTATTTTGATTTTAAATTTGTCTTGTTTTTATATATTTTTTATAATTTTTAAAATTTTATTTTGTTTTGTTTTATTTTTTTCTATTCGTTTTTGAAATTTTCAATGATAGCTGTCGGCCACCATAAACACGCAACAAACGACTTAGTGTACTGCAAAGCGGCAACAAAAAACAGCACTAAACTGAAACTTTAAACTTATTAATTACCGATCATCTATTGGATGCAATGGACAACAAGAAACTATCTGCTGTTATTTTAATTGACCCCTCAAAAGCCTTTGATAGTATCAGTCATTCAATCTTATTAAAAAAAACGAAGTGCTATTGGAGTATCCCAGAAAACAGTTAAATGGTTTGAAAGCTATCTAACCAGACGTTTTCAAAAAGTACGCATTGGTTCATCTTTGTCTGCAGCTCTCCCTATTACCCACGGTGTACCGCAGGGGGCTATTTTGTCACCATTGCTCTTTTGAATATATACAAACGACCTTCCAACAGTGACGCAATCATGTGATCTGAACTCGTTTGTTGACGATTCCAAGATATCTCTGTCATTCTCTGTCAAAGAAGTGTCAGACGCCAAACATAAACTTGAGACTGACCTTCGCCTTGTAGCCGAATGGTGTTGCAAAAATTCATTATTGATTAATCCCGAAAAAAGCAAGTTTCTGTTAGTTGGAACGCGACAGTTACTAAATTCACTATCAGATGATATGTCTTTGAATTTTTTAAATAAGACAATCGTTCCTGTCACTTCCATAAGCGACCTTGAATTAATCCTGGACCGCAACTTGACATATAACAAACATATAACCCAGCTCTCATCAGAGTGCATGGCTAAACTGTGTCAAATTAATCGTGTCAAACATTGTTTTGATCAAAAGACGCTGATTTACATCATCTGCGCGGTAGTTATGGGTAAATTATATTACTGTTCAACAGTTTGGTCAAATACGAGTTCTTCAAATATTAAGAAACTGCAAGCCGTCCAAAATTTTGCGTGCAGAATTATAGCTAATGGGAAAAAAATTGATCATATTACACCAATCCTTAAAGATATTGGTTGGCTCCCTGTTAAAGAACACCTGTTGTTCAAAGATTTGGTCATGATCTACAAATGTATAAATAGTCTCGCTCCAAAATATCTGTGCGACCTATTTCTTAAACGTCAGGAACTAAACAATCGCGCCACAAGAAACAATGAAGCACTACATATTCCCCTATTTTCAACCACCACAGGACAAAGAAGTTTTCGATATAGAGCTGTTGGGTTATGGAATAGTTTAGACAATGAGTTGAAAAAACTCCCATTAGCAACATTTAAAATCAAATTAAAAGAGTTCTTACTAAATCGATATTTTGAAACTTGAATATTTATAGTATATATAAACACTAGTTTAACATCTGACTAGAGATAATCTTGAGATAATCTGACTAGAGATAATCTGACTAGAGATAATCTTGAAGCAGTTTGTATTGAGGTTAACAAACCCTCTTCTGCATCGTTTATTGTTGGTACCATTTATTGACCTCCAGGTGCTTCTGTCGACTCTTTTGCCAATATTGAGCAAAGGAATTTTACATGCTTGGTGATTTAAATGCCAATATGCTTGACGTTTCAAATAATGCCACAAAAAACTTAAATTCAATCATTGAACTATATCAGTTTACACAAACAATAAGCTCACCCACTCGCGTGACCATGACTTCATCTACCCTGTTGGATGTTTGTCTCACCCCAACTCCAGATAAGTTAGTCTTATCTAAAGTGGTGCAGATTGCTATCAGCGATCACTATATGATTTTAGTTGTTCGTAAAATTAATATTCATCCTAAACAAAGAAGTCGAAATTCGAAACTTTAAGTTTTTTAATGCTGAAAATTTCCTAATGGATTTGAGTAATCAGGAATGGGAATTGTTGGACAATAACTTCTGCATTGACAGGATGTGGGAAACATGGAAAATTATTTTCTTGTCAGTTCTAGACAAGCATAAATATACCAAATATTCCTTGGCTGACTAATGCAATTAAAAAACAAATACGTGAACGGGATCGTCTCAAATTCCTTGCCGTTAAATATAATTCAGAAAATTACTGGACTGCATATAAAACCTCTAGAAACCATATAACTAGTACACTGCGAGAAGCAAAAACAGCATATTATAAAGCACAATTTGAAAGTGTCAAACATGACCCTAAAAAAGCTTGGAAAACCGTTAATAAAATCCTTAACCGGAAACAAGAATGTTGCGAAATAAATTGTATCCATACTCAGAATGGTCAAATTTCTTGTCCAAATGAATTAGCGGAGCGCTTTAATTAACAATTACTTTACTGATATTGGTCCAAAAATTGCCACAACCATTGGTAACACTGACAGAAATTTCACGGATTACATAACCAAAACAACCAGTAGTTTCAAGTTTCAAACAGTATCTGAAACCAAAGTATACAAACTTCTCTCCTCTTTAAATCCTTGTAAATCTACTGGAATTGATAAAATTCCCGCTAAAATTATTCGTATTGCTGCGCCAATAATTGCAAATTCCCTGACAAGAATTTTTGATACGGCAATCTATAGTGAAACTGTTCCTTCAGAGTGGAAACTAGCGAGAGTTATCCCTTTACACAAAAATGGCCCTCGAAATATGCTGAATAACTATCGCCCAATTTCCATTCTGCCTACAGCAAGTAAAGTTTTTGAAAAAGATCTATATGGTCAACTATATGGTTATTTTGTTGTTAATAATTTGTCGTCTCAAAATCAATTTGGTTTTAGGCAGTTCCATTCTACAGCCTCTGCCCTTTTGGACAGTACTAACGAATGGTTCATTAATATGGACCGTGGTCAATTCAATCACTAGCTATAATCAACAAAAACGTATGACACCTGGCTACTATAATTAGAGTTTTCAAATCCATATTTACCTTGACTATATTTAATCTATTAATATTTACTATAACCTACTTAATTATGTATGTAATTGTATTAACTGCATGTAAGTAATTGTATTTGTATGTTTAATTTTTCTAAATTTTTAATGTAAATTTGAATCTAATGCTACGCCCCCCTTGGAAATCAGCTTTTGCTCTGGGGGTTAGCGTAGTAAAATAAAGTTTTACCTACCTTACCTACCTATTAGTTTAACACGCATGCAAGAATCTTATTCTTATTGAAATTTATTTTATTGCGCTACTTTTAAACATTTTATAAATTCCTTTTGTAATTATTTTTATAAACATTAATTAATCTGTCAAAAATATCACTTGTAAATAAGTATTGAAAAGCCCTGCGGGGGAATACTTCCAATAACAATAATAATAATAACATACACATACACATACACATACACGCACACGCACACGCACACGCACATACACATACAAACGCAGATAAAAACACAACTTCCTGGCGGAGGTAATAATAGTGATGAT